TTGTTCCCACAGGTAAATGAAGAAAAGAAGAAGTTTGAGGAAAAGGAAAGAGAAGTTTGTTAATGTGCTGCCAAATGAAAAAGACGTCAGATTCTTGTCTTAAGACACCATTGTTCTATTGCTACTTAACTTCAATCTCCTAACTTCTGTTGGAGGAAATTCCATTAAGTCATCACCTGTCGTACAAAAAAACAAAGAGCTCTTCCCTGTCCCTCTGATTACTGGCCCCTGACAGAAATGCAGGTTAATTCCCCAAAAGAGTGAGGAGGGGGTTTGTTTTTTCTTTTTGAAACATTCTCACTAGGTTACCCTGTCACCCTCTGTAGAGTGCTGTACTGTCATAGCTCACAGCAACCTCCAACTCCTGGGCTTAAGCGATTCTCTTGTCTCAGCCTCCCACGTAGTGGCCACAATGCCTGGCTATTTTTTTGTTGTGGTTGTCATTGTTGTTTTAGCAGGCCCCGGTGGATTCGAACCTGCCATCCTTGGTTATATGTGGCTGGGGTCATAACCACTGGGCTATGGGTGCTGAGCCAAGTGAGGAGGTTTTAAAGAGACAGCTTGTAATATGTTTTACCCTTTTTCAGATTGTCACTTATGTCACAGGTGGGAAATGCTATGGGACTCTGAAAACTCTGGACTACAGAGAAAAGATAATTAGGTCATCTATTCTGGGAAAGAAGAGAAGAGAAAGTGATTAGAAGGATAAAGGAATTATTCCTATCTGATAGCAAAACAGAGTGAATCTGCAATAAATATAAATCATTTTTTGTACATGGCATCAACATGGCTACATTTCTAATATGAATAAGATTATCTCCGAGTTAAGCACATTTGTTACTCTCCACGTGAAAAGGCAAAGTACACTGAGGTCATCCATGGTTGATTCTGTTTGGCTCCATTTAGAATCACAGGAAATAGAATCAGGCTGGCCTTAATGGAATTACCATCTATGCTAAGGTTCTAGGTTAACCCCTTTCCATAATCTAGCTCAACCCAATCAATTCTAAATGATCATTATTTAGAAGGGAATTGTGCTGATTGACCAAGCTGGTACTGACTGTTCTCAGGGTAATAGATCTGGGGGCTCCTAAATTCTTCCATTCAAAAAATGTGGTCAGTTTTCCTGTTCCTTAGTCCCGGGTAATGATATTTATATAACCCGGGTGGTGTTAGTAAGTCATAAATGACATAAGTGACAGTAGGCCTACTGTGGCTATCGCTGGTCAGCCAGTGTCCTGATACGTGCTTTCTGTGGTGTACTGCGACCAGTATCTGTGATAATTTAATAAATGTGCGAATACAGGCTGAGGTAAAGACAATGAATTAGAATGGAGTGCTCAACTTATGAAAACATAAGATCCTGAAGGAAAGAAACAAACGTCAGTTGCTTCTGTCCTGCCAGCATCCCTTTGGCCTCTACTAAAAATAGAAGGTAGCAGCACCTGCTATTTGTACCACTACCCCTTGCCCCATTCCCTGTCGTCTGTGGGATAATGAATCAAAGTGCTGGCTTCCTCTATACTCTAGAACGATGTAAATTTGGATAGGAGGGACAAAGAACTAAAAATGACTGGAATTGATCAGTACAAAGGTAACGCCCTAGAAGAGACTGTCTATTGGTTTCTACTCCTTAGAGTCCTTCCTTGAATTCTGTCCTGGGCAACTTGCTTTTTCAGGGGTATGGGTGGTGAAATCTCCCTCAGTGACATTGTTGCATTTGCTATTTCTTTTCGCATTTACTATTCTTTTTTTAAAGAATTCGCTAAATTGGATTTCTGTGGCTTGAAATCACAAAAGGGGCTTAGGAAAGTCAATTTTCCTCCTGTTTCAACGTCCAACCCCGTCCTTAGGGATGGGAAGATTCAACCTGAGCCTATTCTGCAGAAAGTACAGGTGATATCACGTCATCGTTGTCTCTCACAGTGCTGATTTCAGTCTAGTTGATTTTAGAAAAAGCAGAGGTAAACAGTCCAGGGAAAAAGGTATAATTAAGTCATTACCCCTGTTGTACAAAAAAAACAAAGAGCTCTTCCCTGTTCCCCTGATTATTGGCCCCCGACAGAAATGCGCCCATAACCCTCAAATTACTCATAACAATGAACATGAAAACAAATCTTAACAGACAGCCCTGTAAATGTATTTTGGTATACCCACATCTCATGACGAATACCTGCTATTTCCAATTTCACTCTCCAAGAGAAACACATTTTGTTCCTAGAAATTGTGTGTCAGGCTTGTGCGCTGACTAATAGGAAGTATTGTTACTGTTAGTTTCTGCATTAGATAACTAAGGAGACAAGAGCTGACTCCAGCATTAGCCATAGATTCTGCTCTCTATATATCAAAGGCACTAGAGCAGCGATTTTCACAGCGATTTTCACTGTGCCATAAGAGGATCTTAGATGTGCGACCAAAATTTTTAAAGATCATTATTTATTTTCAAAAAATGTTCACAGCATAGTAAATAGATTCTCTTTTTTACTTTTTCTCAGTCAACATAATTTAAGTGCGCCATATAGTAATTTAACTATAGGTTCAAGTGTGCCATAAGATTAAAAAAGGTTGAAAAACACTTCCTAGAGAGCCACTTAGGGACGTGAGATTTCCTTTTTTTTTTGAGACAGAGTCCCAAGCTATTGCCTGGGTAGAGTGCCATGGCATCACAGTTCACAGCAACCACAAACTCTTGGGCTTAAGCAATTCTCTTGCCTTAGCCTCCCAAGTAGCTGGGACTATAAGGCGCCCGCCACAATGCTCGGTTATTATTATTATTATTATTGGTTATAGCTGTCATTGTTGTTTGGCAGGCCCGAGCTGGGTTCGAACCTGCTAGCTCCAGTGTATGTGGCTGGTGACCTAGCCGCTGAGCCACAGGTACTGAGCCAGGAATTGAGATTTTATAATAAGAAACTTATAACCCACATTTAAAAATTTTTTTTTGTTTTTAAGCTAAGGAAGATCTGGACATGTTTGGAGGCAGAAGGGAAAGAGTTGCTGGGAAAAAAAAAGGGACAGACAGGACTGGCTTCATTGGCAAGTGACCTGTGACCCATGTCACCCAGGGCCCTGCATTTGACTTAATACTTTGCTACCAGTGTCTTGAACGTTTTGAACCAGGCCCTGTATTTTCATTTTTCACTAGGCCCTGCAAATTATGTAACAAGTCCTGAGGTACTGGATGTGTGATATATCCAATTGATATATGAATTATCAATTATCATATATCAATTGGTATTTAATTTAAACACATCTGAAAGGTATAAAGCACTATATGATAGGCTGATTAATACTCCTCCATCAATGTCCACATCCTAATTTCTGGAACCTGTTAATATGTTACTCTACGTGGCAAAAGGGATATTTCGGATGTGATTAAGGATTTGGGGATGGGGAGATTATCCCGTATTATCTGGGTGGGCCAATGTAATGCAAGGGTCCTTATTTGATGGTGGCAATAGAATTAGGGTCATAAAAAGAAGGCAGGTGACAAGGGAAGCAGAGGAAGTAAAGGAGCTGTGAGCCTGTGATGCAAGGTCATAAACCAAGGACTGCAGGTGGTCTCTAGAGGCTGGAAAAGGCAAGGAAACAGGCTAGAGCCTCCAGAAGGAAGGCAGCCCTGCAGATTCATTTTTGATTTCTGCTGTCTAGAACTATAAAATAATAAGTTTGTTTTATTATAAGCCACTCAATTTATGGCTAATTGTTATAGCAGCTATAGGAAACTAATATACATTACATAATGTAAGATGATCTATTTTTATTTTTGTATAAATCAAGACTAGCTATAAAACTGATAGCAGCTATCATTTACTGAGCACTTCCTAAGTGTGAGACAGTATACTAAACTCTTTCTGTATATAATCTTATGTAATCTTTTTTTTTTTTTTTTTTTTTTTTTTTTTGAGAAAGAGCCTCAAGCTTCCCCCCTGGGTAGATTGCCGTGGCATCACAGCTCACAGCAACCTCCAACTCCTGGGCTCAAGCGAGTCTCCTGCCTCCGCCTCCCAAGTAGCTGGGACCACAGGCGCCCGCCAAAGCGCTGGCCATTTTTTGGTTGCAGCCATCATTGTTGTTTGGCGGGCCCGGGCTGGGGATTCGAACCCGCCACCTTAGGTGTATGTGGCTGGTGCCTTAGCCGCTTGAGCCACAGGCGCCGAGCTAATCTTATGTAATCTTAAAGCAATATTTGAGGTGAGAATTAAGTCCACATAACTAGAGTGTTTTATAACTGAGTCCAATCTATGTCACTCCAAGCTTTTCTGTGCATTTATCCCCATTCTCATATTTCATCATAAACTTTTTTTTTTTTTTTGCAGTTTTTGGCCTGGGCTGGGTTCGAACCCACCACCTCCAGCATATGGGGCCAGCGCCCTACTCCTTTGAGCCACAGGCGCTGCCCCATCAGAGTTTGTCTTCATGATTTAAAATGCACTATATTTGCACATGTCAACATAGGAGTGGGGGCAGGAAGAGGCAGGAGATGACATCCATACCTGGGGTGCATAAAATGAAAGAGGAGCTGAAGCCATCTCTACATTTTGCAGGTTAATTAATCTAGGCACCCGCAGTAGATGTGAAGCTACAGAAAAGTGAGATTAAACAAGCGCTCAGGTCAAAGTCAAAGATTCCACGTCGTTGGTTCCTAACTTGAGTTCGTACTGGGCAAAATCCTGGAGCCTGAGGCATCCTGGAGCCACAACGCGCTGGGGGACCGCAGGGACCAACGCAGAGAGTTGCCTCGCCGCGTTTCCCAGGCAACGCCCGGGGAAGAGGCGACAGCTGGCCAAGTCCTGTAAGAGGACGCCTGCTCCCCTGCCCGCACCTCCTGGTGTTTTGGAGGCCCGCGTGGTCCCGCCTCATTGGCCGCCGAGAGCCCAGGGAGGCGGAGTGGCCGCCTCAGTTGTAGTTCCCAGGATTGCTCGGCCGCCGGCTCCACCTTCCGACAGCGGCGCGCAGGCCGCCGCCAGGGACTACAACTCCCACAAGGCTCCGCGCGCGGGGCGTGGCCGCAAAGCCGCGGAGGCTGGGGGCGGGGCCGCCCGGGGGATGCAGCGGGGGCGCACCGCTTTCCGGCTTCACTTAACAGCTGCCGGGCGTCGGGCGGAGAGTGTCTCTGCCTTAGGACCGGCGTGTAGACCTCTGACCCTGGAGTCACTGGGCGGCCAGGAACCGTTCCCTCGGGTCGTCGCCTGGGCTGCCCGCCGTTCCCCGCCCCCGTGGGCCCCGGCCGGCCGCTGCTGTGGGAGAGGTCAGCATGAGCCTGGGGGTCCTCCGGGCCGGCGCCAGGCAGGGGGCGGCGGCCGCGTTGCAGCTGCTGGTGGCGCTGAGCTTTCTCCTGAGCGTCGTCGAGGCCCAGGTAAGCCCGTGTGATGGCGGGTCCCGGCCGAACGCCCGGTGGCCGCTGCGAACGGGCAGCAGCTGTGGCGCGGAGAGAGGCCGGGCCAGGTGGGGCTGGAGCCGAGGGGATTTCTGACCAGCGGAACATCTGGGGACAGAGCCCTGACGGTCGGCAAGTGCAGGAAACGCCGGCGAGCCGCCGGCGGTGTGCGGGGATGGCGACACCCCGGGGTAATGGCAGTCAAAAGAGGAAGATGGTGACGGTCCCCGGAGCTGTTTTCGGTTTTATCTTTCTGATGTTTTAAGCGGCTGGGAGTGTGGCGGAGACGGGACAGGGATGAAAACCTCAGAGGTCTCACCAAGAGAGCACAGGTAGAAACGGTGACATCCTTCCCTTCGAGAGTTAACGAGGGAGGGGAGGCTGAGAGGAGGTGGCACTCTTAACAGACCCCCCCAGATCCCCGAGGCCCCTCAAAGCGGAGTGGGGTTGGAGCGGGGTTAGACTTAACTTCCTTGAACTTTTGGACTAGAGATGCCCGGGCTTTTGCCCTTGCCCAAGACCGCTTCATTTTTACACAGCTGTGCTGTGTCTGCCAAGCGGCGTCGCCAGGTGAGCCCGAGGACAGACGGGGGTCTAAATCTAGCCTCGTGGCTATTGGATGGAGGCTCTGTCAGTAGCGAGGTGCTGGCTGGAGAGTGTGGGGGTGTCTCTGTGAAGCGAATATTACACAAGTGTTTTCAGTGTGCTGGAAATCGGAGGTTTAGCTGACCAGAGCCTTTGCCTTGAGAGAGGTGTTTACTTCTTCTCTAGTCAGTCGAATTCGGGAATTTGAATAGATTGCCAGGTGCTGCTGTGCTGTGTCTTGCCTGCACCTGCTGCAAAGTGGCAGCACTGCTAAGAGTCACGCACAAATTGTCTCAGGTGGCCTGATAATCAGGGGAGGTGCCATTTGAAGCAATTCTCATCTAAGAAAAACTGAAGGTAACTATGAGTGTAACCTCATAAACATGTTTTTTTTTCTTTTCTGAATTTATTGAGACACTTATTTCATAGTTTTCTCGTGCCCCATGCTAAGTCCCAGAAGGCTTGAAATATTCCATTAGTAACCATATTTGAGTATTTTTAAAATAACAATTTGGTAAAAATAAAAGGGTAAAACTTTTGGTACTGGGGAACATGATAAAATGTAGATTTTCTGGTCCTAACTCCAGCTGTACTGATTGAGTGGATCTGGGATATGACCCAGGAATCAGCATTTTAAATACCTCTTGAAAGTCAGTAACTGCAATACAGTTACCCTGTGGACTGCCTCTTGGACCCTGCTTGGAAAACACTGAAATAAATAGTGGGAGTATGGACAGACTTAACTAAAAGTAAACTGTCCAAATTGTCGTTGGCAAAATTATTTTCTAGTTACTAGTTGGGTGGTTTTGAGTGTAATTTACATTTAGATATTTTTCTAAAATGAGATTTCTCATTTTCTATATAGCATATATTGTGTACTTTATCATCAGTCCAGAAGCTTAATTTTAGATTTCGTCATCTACCACTAATTAGGGGTAATTAATGTTTTATAATTACACCTGTACTTTTAATTTCATTATATTCAAATGAATATATATTGTTGAAGTGTTAAAGATTTGTACATATTCAAAGTAGCATTGTGCTGGACGGTCTTCAAAAATGAATTTATGGGCGGCGCCTGTGGCTCAAGGAGTAGGGCGCTGGCCCCATATACCGGAGGTGGCGGGCTCAAACCCAGCCCCAGCCAAAAAAAAAACTGCAAAAATGAATTTATTTAGTGAGCTGTTTTTAGCGGTACTTTTGATCATGTTTTAGATAGTACATTATCACATTTCATTCATACATCTTGTAGAAGTGGGGTCATCGAGGTACTGAAGTTCAGGGAGCTTAAATGACTCGAGTGAGTGACATTAGAGACTTACTACGGCCTCCTTCTGGTCTATATGGTATATTGGTATATTTGCCTCTCTGTAGTATAAAAAAGTACAAAAGTGAAACTCAGCCAGTTCTTTCCCTTCTTCCATATACTAAATTGGTAGAAAAACAATAAAGATAAAGAATTACAGGAAATCAAAGTCAATTAAAGAGCTGTTGATTTTAGATAATCTCCTTGCAGTAAAAGCAGAAAAATATTATTGAGCACATAAAATGATATACATTTCTATGTCTCATGCCCCATTTTCTTATAAATGAAATGCAAATATGCTTTGTAGTTTGGTGAAGCACTGGGAACCTACAGGCATAGTGTATATAAGCGATGTAACAATCTTCCCACAAAAAAGTAATTTTAGTCATAGATATATATTAAATTCTTCTAAATACATTTATGAGGTGGCAAGAAATCAAGGAATACACAGAGACCCCCGCCCCCAACAATGAAAAGCAAGAAACTTAGGACTCTTATAGCTTCTTACCAGACCATTACTCTGAGGGTTTCTCCCAAATGCTAAAGACCTTATGCTTCTGCTTTGACACCTGCATGGGGGAGGGGAGAGTGGGCAAGAAATTAGGTCCATATCTACCCAACAAGAGGAAACTAATAGGAGACGTCACCATAAAGCCTGAGCTCCAAAGAGCTACATCCCCAATGTAAGAGTAAGTGAGAGATAAATCATACTTCGAGTAAGGGGAATGTAAAGAAACTTGGTGGGGGAGTGAGGGAAAGATGAACTCTCTTGGGAATTTGTAACCATAAACCAACCCTCACATGGGTTTGCAAGTCAAATTCATGCTACTTGTTCTAGGAAAATTTAATTTATAGCAGTTCTGAATTTGTATGCTCTAGGCTACTGGTAAAAGCAAATATCCCTTCCCTCTGAAGGAATTTATTTTTAAGTCTATCCCTAAAGAATTTTCAAAGATAAAGTGCCAAGAATAATAAATGGTTAACAGCAAAAAATTCATAAAATACACAAGGAAACAGGGCACCATAAATCAGATCTTAGAAACAGACATGTAATGACTTTAGATTCTGAAATTATCAGGTAGATAATTTAATAATATGTTTAATGTGCTTAAAAAAGAGAAACTTGAAAATATGGAAAGAGAATAAAATTTTAAAGAATAGCCAAAAGTAAAA